CATATGTATGTAGAGTAGATCCATCGCTGTACTCTTTCTCTACCTCTCAGTCTGCACATTCGATATGTCGACTATTTAGAATTTCTGTTAATGCCAAGAGCACACTTATCCGCACGATATATCTATGAGTTTAATTCTTTCCCTCTTCCAACACTCGTTTTAGAAGATCCGTTTTGATTTGTATTATATCTCTTGTTTTATGCGGTGTGTGTTGGATTTCGTCTTGTTTTTACTTTTCTCATTCACTTTGGTTACGTGCGTCTGTATTTATTTCATTCGTATGTATATGTGTTTTAATCCTTATCTATCTGATTCACATTTGCTCATTTTATTGCTCTTGCGCTCGGCTTTGTCTACTTATAAGAACTCATACGATCTTTTTAACGTTTTTCTTAGCAATACATATAAAACTGCAATGTGATACGCATTCCATGTGGATTATCAATATTAATATATAAAATCCGAGCCAAATTCGTGTTTTCTCTGCTGTTACTGCTGTAGACTATATTTCTGCCTAGGCCAAATATATATCATATACATCGTATGTTTTGTATTTGTATGTACATACATATGTCATGTTTGTCATGGTCTTTCTCGCAAATTCTTGAGCTTAGCCGTGCCATATGCAAAATCCCAAAGTCAAAAGCAATTTCAAGTATTTGTTCTCGTCAATACCTCTCTGCCACTTATTTCCTTATCTTTCTGTTTCTTTTTCTCATCTGTCTTCTACTTTTCTTTTGTCGTTCTTTGTTTATTCAATGAAATTCATTTATGATTTTATTTTCAGAACGAGAGATTTCATATAAAATTGATATTTAATACGAATATTTGATTGAATTTGAACATGTTTTAATTTTTTACGTATGGTAATTCAGAAAGGGAAAATAAATGGTAATGAAATCTAATTGTTATATTTACAACAGACTATTTTTCACGCAGAGAAAGAGAGAGAGAGAAACCAAATAAAATCAGTGGATACGCGTTAATAAAGCACGTGGTGGCGACCACAGCAATTTGCATAAGTATGTCGTTTAACAAATATGACACAGTGGCATCTAGCATGTGAATGTATATTTAATGTGATTGTAAACACAAGTGAACATCAAATTGAAGTGAAAAAAAAAACAACAGGCTGACAATAACAGATACAAATCGTACGCTATTGCATAAGTTATACCAAAAACGAAGAAATACGAAATTACCGTGTGAATTTTCTCTCATTGACTCTCTATTGGTGCCTCTCTTTCAGTTGGTATGCTTGGTCTTGTGTTATTCTTTATCATATACATTACTATATGGTGTTGATTGTGCACATTCAAATATTTCGTTTAACTTTTGTTAAAGTTGCATTGTTGTGTTTGCTTTTCGACTATACACCTCTATCTTCTTCCGCTCAATAAGTTCCTGTCGGCAAGTCAACAAATAACTACACGAAACACCAGTACTCTCATACACATTCACATTCTCTTAGGTAACACTCTTCTGGTGCACAAATCAGGCCTCCCTCCGACACTCTTAGCTTAACAAGGAAACAACACCATATATCCAATACAAAAAAGGAAATCAAGGCATAACAGCAACAGCAGCTAAACACCGTGAACACGAAGAGAGAAAAATGAGAATGAACAACATACAAGTCTTTCGGTTAAACAGTTTTACGACGAGAAAAAAGAGAATAAATAAATAAAAGTGAATAAAAGTCAAACCTTTTACAAAGTGAATTGAATGTGAACCCAAGAGCGCATATTTTGTATTTAACAGGATAGTTACTGGAATAATATTTGTGTAGCAAATAAATAGTGAATATGTTATTTGGATGTGTGTATGTATATCCTTGGGTGTATATGTTTTCAACACATCTCTTGCAATGCATAAACGATATTCAGAAATATAATATACACCAAATGTCGTGAAATTCTATTGAGAAAAATGCATCAGATTTAACAACTTTCAAACTTACAATTTCATATGATTTATCACATTTATTGTATGTATGCATTTAAATAATCACGATGTTTAATTATTGTAGTTTAATGGTCAAGTATTTTGCACAAATTTATGTTATTTTTCCAAACTTCAAACGATTTTCTAACATTGAAAAATGTCTTTCATTTGTATCGAAAGCATAAAAAAATATGATATCGAAATCGATGCAGATAAAATTGATCATTTTTCTTACATCAAAAAATTTATTCTTTTTGTTGTTTGTTGTCGATTTGTGCTCAAAAGAAACCAAATGCTACATAAGTCATCATTAAAATGATTACTTTCTTTCCTGTTCATTTAATGTGTCTAATCTGCTGTGACAAATTTCAAATTCTCGGTTAATCACACAAAGTGGTTTTTCACAATCTTTTTTTTTTTATTCTGTTATTTCATATTTATCTGAACTATTAGTTGTTCTTGTGTCTGGTTTTTTCGTCTTCTCTTGACGTGATTTCATTTTGTGTTACTCGAAATCAAATAGAATTGGAAAACAGATAGTTGTTTGTCACACACTTAGTATTGTTGTAGTTTTTTTTTTTTTGGAGTTTCCAATGCACAAATTTATTCTTTCTCTTTCTCTCTTGAACGTTTCTAACACTTTCATTAAATGCATTGAGCGACTAATCCATTGTATTATAAATGTTATTTTCCGCCAAAAACCAAATAAATTGATCAACTGACTTTTCGAGAAAATAATGTGTTCGGAAAAAATTAAACAACATTGAAAAGCTATTGCATCAAAATCTTCTTTTCATCCCAGAAAAGAATGATGACTAGGCGATGGAAATGGGATAATCTGGCTTGAAAAAAGGGACATACGTATTCGTATATCGATCGGATCGATGTGAGAAATCTTATTAAAAATTGACATCGACAATAATGTGGACACGGGAATGGAAACAAATACTCCTCAACATGTATCTATGTCCTCCGCATCGGTGTTATTTTCTTTTCTTTTTTTCCCTTAACCCTCTAATGCATTAATTTTTTTTCGACATGAGACTTATTTTTCTATGATTGTTTTGGTTTATAATTCCTTAAAAAAATAATCGAAATTCAAAAAATCGCATGGTTTTCTCAAAAAATGCTATTGACAAAATTCGAGAACAATCAAAACCATTGTTTAAACTGCAGTATTGCTACAAACTGCTATAAACAAAGAAAATGATATTTTTTTTTTGTCAAATTTCTGTTTTCGAGTACAACCGTGTTTATAATTAAACAACCGATTTACATCCAGTTGTCAAATGACCGGAAAATGAAAGCCTGAACCCTACTGAATGTATTTTAATTCATAAATAAAATCTTTTTTTAAAAATTATATATTTTAGACAATAATTTGTACACCATGCCTAAAGGCAGGGCTATGTACTAGAGGGTTAATCGAGCCAGAAAAATGTTTTATTGTTGTTTTGATATCGACTTTTCGCTTTCACCAAACATTCAACTGCTAATTGAACATTGATTTATGATCGAGATTTGTCAAAGAGAATAGAAGAAAAAAATGTTCGTAAAAGAGAATTAACACACTATTATTATTGCTACAAATGTAGCAGTAGCGTGTCACGATACTGTTCACCTGGATTTATTCATTTTGTTTGCTACGTCATTAGGCATCATTTCTTTCAGTGTATTCATTTTTACTTTGTGCTTCTTTTGTTTGGCGTGCGATTTATACCCTCGTTAGTAAATAAAAAAATTTCATTCTCTCTCACTCTATTTGATCTGATAAAATGCTTTATCGGATAGACTTTAGCAACTTCGATGCAAATGGAATTATCGCATTTGTTTTGATACGATTCGGCCGATTTGTTAAAAATATCTAAACGACGAGAAAGGATGAGCGAGTATGTAAAAGTATTTGGCGAATGGGATTGTAATTCAATAGGAATACTTTTACACCCTTCGTTCCACGTCGAAATGGAATTCAAAGCAAAATCAACTTGGATAGAGTAAAGAAATTTTGTAAAACAGTGAAAGAACATGGAATCAGATGAAATATGTCTGAGGATTACGAAGATATGAACCTTTCATCTTAGTTGTCACTCATTTCCGTCAATTTAAATTTTAACGAAAGTATTGCAACGATTTTCTCACTCAAATAGAAACGACAAAAAATGTCTGTGTATGAATCAAAATCCTGACAGGAGTTATACATATGTAATATGCTGTATGTCCGTTTTATTGTCATTAATGCCATTTCATTAATCATGCTTAAATCCATATCCAGTTTCTATCTGTAATATGTAGATGAAAATTTCTTTTCGATTAAATAAACTTTGTCATATATCCGTATTTAATCGTGTAGTAGCTCGACAAAGAGAGATGAGTAGTTTGTTCGTTACATTTGCACTGAAAAGCAGTTGTGAGGCGTATGTTTTGCGTATCCAAAGTCGAGAGAATATTTTGCCAAAGGTGTGTTATTAAACCAATGTATGAAATGTGATCACAATGTTAAAATCCGAAATTAGTATGATTACGATTTTGGGTCGTTTATATTATAATATTACTGAAAGAGATTTACATGCAAATTGAGATGCAAGACTTCCAGTTTGGTCGTACACACATTAACTCTATTTCGATTTATATGGATTTATGTCTCGAAAACAACAAAGCAAAAGGAAGTTGAACACAATGAATGAACAACTACACTGTGTGAATTGAAAGCGCATTATTTTTTTTCTGTAATATGTAAAGGGTGCCAATAATATCCACAAATTGTAAGGAACGGACGCAGATGAATCAAATGGCTTAAAAATATAACATAAATCCACACTGATTTCCCTGTTTTATGGATGCATCTCTATTTTTTAAAACTGTAAATCGAAATAAGAAGAATCTAGGTTTCTTAACTGTTGATTTTTTTTCTTATTAATTCGATCCGATTGAGTACCAACTACTTTGTTTCTCATTAATGATCGTGTGAAATGTATTTAATATTCAATCGAAATGGAAATGTATGTTTACAAGAAGCTTCGATATAATTTCAAAAATCAACTAGAAAATCTGCTTACCTGGGCGGCTGCTCCAGCGTTGGTTGCGGCAACCCATGCCTCTGCAAATGTTTCCATCGCACTTTGAAAGTCCATAGCTGGTTATAATGACCACACTTGTTTATTTATTTTAAATTTAGAACGAGAACAAGCAAACTGAAGAATTTTATCTCTTGAAATAAATGTTTTTGATTTTATTTTCACTTCAAAAAAAATTACGCTGTTTTTATCATGTCGAAGTATTTCGCGGTTTTTAAAATCAACTTCAATTCAAGTATATTTAGTTATCACTTTTTATTCTAGCATATTTTCTTATATTTTTCTTTAAATTTTATGCGAATATATTTTTGTTATTCTGATATATTTATATATTTGACTAAAGTGTCCATTGTTTTATACTCGTCATAAGAGAACAGATTACTTTCTTTTCGTATTTGTGTGTGATTAAAATCAGTTTTTTATTAATCGATTTGCTCGCTATAAATGCACTTATGCAATTTCAATCTCGCTATAAGCGATTCACCACTGCACATATTATTTTATTTGTTCTTTGATTTTGTACGCGTACATATAATCAGATTTTTTTTTCTTTTGCATCGTATGTATACTATTTATTTGGTGGTGTTGATTTGTTGATATATTAAGCAGGTAGGTAATTTTTGTTATTTAGTACTAATGAGTTTTGAGTACAATTACGCTGTATAGTTGTTTGTTTCGTTCTAAATCAAACTGTTGAACGTATTCCGAAGGTTGATAACTCTGTTGGGTAAGTTCGTATTTCAATCACATAATCACTAGTATCGATATGTGGCTAATTGAATTATTAATTTTTTTTTATTTTTTTTTCTGTCCTCTTATAATTTTCAGTTCGTTTGGGTTTTTTGATTTAATCTTTTATTGTTATTGCTTGCAAAAAAATACCATATATTTATTGTACGATTCAGATTTCGATAAATGTAAAGTTGCAGATTGTTTAATTGCTTCTTTGCTAAATAAAATGCAAGAGTGGAGAAAGAAAAATTAGTATTGGCAAAAGATTTGTTGCGATTAAGATATTTATCGAACATTAAATATTTCTGCAAAGAAAAAAAAAACGTATGAAATGCGTCTCCGTTTATTTTCAGGAAAATTTACAGAGCTGATGGCGGTGCTGTAGAAACTTTTAATCAATGAACCGAATGAAAAAAAACAAAGAGGTGTATAATGCATTTGCATAATGTCATTTGGTGTTTTGTCACCATTGCCAACGGATTAAGTTCTTCCCTGAAGCGGTAATACTGCTTATGAAAAAAACTGATTTCAAAATAAATGTGTGTACCTGCTGTGGGAAATAGCCCCCAAGAAAAACAAATACACAAATCGAAGCGATGAGAACAAGAAATATGTAACATAAATGCCAATATGTTTTGTGTATTTGGTTTTTTATGTCTTTCTTTCATTGTCGTTTTGACCAGAAATATTTTTTTATGTTTGTTATGTGTATAGTTTTTGTTTTTGTTATTTTTTGCTCTGCTAATCGTATTAAATAAAAAAACTCAAAGGGAGTTTTCTAGGTTTTCTAAGTGTGAAGATTACTTTTTTGCACGATTTCGCTTAGTGAGAGAGAGAGAGAGAGAGAGAGAGAAAGAGAGAGAGAGAGAGAGAGAGAGAGAGAGAGAGAGAAAGAGAGATAGACTATTAATAGTGTTTAAATTTAATTAGAATGGAAACAATAAACTGTACTCGATGAGCAAATTGGACAAGACGATCAAGCGAGGAAATGCAAATCTTTGATTTTGTACTTAACCTTTCAGCTAAATTTTTTAAGGGGTTTCTTCTTCTTCTCTCTTTTTTACTCATTGGTACTACTTCGTCATTTGCAATCAACTCACATTTTCCTAAATCTATTAAACAGGTCTCATTATTGTTGATTGTTTTCCTAAGCTTATATCAGTAATAGTTATTATAACGTTTTCTGAGTGTGAGTGTGCGTGTGAGTGTGTTTCAAAGTTCTTTTAATTTGTTTCAAAACGTTTTTCAATCATTCTATCAAATCAATTGCAGAATGACAAAAATACAAAATGGGAATGTGGAGTTTTTTTTGTTATCGATGCCAATCAGATATATCTCCATGTCTCTTCTTACACTTGTAACCCATAGATCTTTTGAGATTTTCGTTTGGCAAGAACGCTGTGTGTGTATTGTATTATTTGTTTTAATTGTTTAATAAAAACTGATTGATCAATTACCCCACATTATATAAGATATATTGAAAGTGCTCCCATTTACACGCGCATTCGAGCCACGATACATATTTCTCTTCCCATATCATACCGCGCTCACTCAAACAGACTATCTATGAGTACATATAGCTCTTGCCTTTTGTTTAATTTGTTGCGTTCTTTCTCTTCGAATCATTACTACACATAATTGATGGCACAATGCCACATCTCGCACCAATATGATATGTAATTTATCGGCACACACACACATACACACACACATAAATATTGTTGTTGTAGATGATAACATCCCAAACTACTTCAATTTTTTTTTCATATTATAAATGTGCTCTTTAATTTGGAGTATAACTGCCTACTTCATTGTTGAATGAAAAGGACTTATTGGAGAAAATTGTGCATTTATAAACAGCTGAGTAAAGAAAATTAAAGGAGCAAAAAGGACAGTTTTTACCATTGTTTATGATTCCACCGATAATTTCTTCAAATCTAAATATATCTATTTTTTTAATTGACTAAAATGTTTATAAGTCTAAAAAATTTGACTAACACTAATCACGACAATGAATCACCACGAAAAATTAGACGATCAAAAAAGGATAAAAATAAAAAAGAGAAAAAATTCTCGGAACATAGCGTTCCATAAAACAAACAACTAATAACGTAAGTATTAACGATAGTTTAATTTTTTTGATCGAGTCAGAATATTCTTACATGTAACGGCGATTAAAATTCAAATTTTACTTCACGCCAAAAGAGAAAAACAGAATTAATAGTAGTTGAGCGGCTTCTTAACGTACCGGTAGCTGTCGCGCAACTAAATCCCAAGATAGAAAATCGTTTCATGTGACACACCGAATGAATGAGTGGTGTATTTTCATATGTACTACATAGAGCGTGCCATAACAACATTACAAAATATATATATTTCGAGTTCGTTGTCTCTTTCACGCTCTCTGTATGTGTTACCGAAGGTTTGCCTTACTGAGTTATATATACGGTACACGGCATACTGTGTGAATAAATGTAAAAAGGAAAATAGAATGATGTGAGACCACAGCAAGCACATGTACACCATGTGAAATATACAATAACATTACACACATACATGGATGTAGGCATACACATCGATGGGAAAAAACGAGATAGCGAGAACTTGGGTTCTGCTTGTTGGAAAAAAATACATACACATACATGTACACAGCCAGTCAACACATCTCCTTGTTCCGATACCAATTCGCTGAAATCGTATTCAAACGAGGCGCAACGATACAAGATACGGATTTATAGTGTGTACATAGACACATACACATTGTTGGAGAAATTGAGCAGTCCATCCAGTGATCGGCTGCGCTCATTGAATATATGTACTGAATCGTTGATATCTTGGATAAGAATGCTCTTATGTGTGTATGAATATAGAAAATGCACATTAATATTGTGCGCGCGAGATTTGAATAAAGAAGAGCATGTAAAATTCTACCCGATTCCTAACGACATAAATATTTGTAAAGAGTAAGAAAATAATGAAAGATGTTGAACGAAGAGTAGTTATAGTGTTCGGAATATTCTCCCAATAATTTGAGTATTTTACTTTCTATGCACAAAAATATAGATAATCATTACATATTTATGCATTTGCAACACGAGTATGTACAAGTTTGTTGTTTATATACTTTAGTTGCGAGCGCCACATTCCACAGAAAAAGATATATATATATATATATTTAGAGAGAGAAAGAGAAAAAAGAAAAAGAGTCCTGTGTTTTGTTTCATTGTAGTGGCTCACATCCGAATCATGCGCGATTCATTGGAACGTCAACCGTCCCATATCCTCTCTTACACACTCTCTATCTCTCTATCGTTATTTCACATTTATTAAAAAATATATATTTGCTACTATATGTTTTATCCACAGCCACGTGAACAGAGTGTCACCTCATTCAAGCTTAATATATTCGCTCTAATACTGATTGTGCTACAGCTCCAATTATGAGTATATATGTGCATGTAGTTGTTGTTTTTTTTCTTCTGGCTTTCGAATGTGTGTGGTTCAATTCAATCGTCTGATTTCCATTTTTTTCCTTCGTTGTCGCCTCTGTTCATAGCGATCATACCCTCTCTTTTTCTCACATTTGTGGGAGCAAAAGCTCATTCACACTCTCTGCTCTCTCATCTCATTCGCTTATTAGATAGATGACTGACGCGGGGAGATCGAAGTAAATAAACTACGCTGATGTCTGATTGTACGTTATGCAGTGTTTTTGGGTGGCTGTACGCTCCATCCGTGTTTGTCCGAATTTTTATCGCTCAGTGGATTGGATAACATTTATATCAGAAAAAAGTTTCCACTATATACACAGACACACATATTTTTTATATATTTGGGATGTGCGATAGAGAATTTGCTCTCGATTTTGAGTCAACACCAATTTTGCAACGTGTGTATATCGCCTTCGTTCCCCTCACACATCCCTCGATGCATTCCAACAAACACATATACATAATCGAAGTATGTCCCATTGTGTATTCTTTGGTGTTTTTCAAAGTTCCACTTGGTGTCTGTAAGTATGCTGGGATATGCTTAACAAATTGCAAATATATATTTACAACAAATAGAAACGAAAGATGACAATTTCAACCGAAACGATTTTGACAGCTTTTCAAAGCTAATAATGTCTTCCCGTATACATCATTGCTTGACGTTTTAGCTTTATATGCAAGAAAGCATAGCGCACACGAAATATATACCATCTGAAAATATTTGGCAATATTTTTTTCGGATCTGTTTTACATTCAAATGAACAATTGTATATTTGTATTTCAAAAGACAACGAAAAAATTAATATTTTGTACATAACGAACCGAACAAACTGGGATGCTCAGAGCTCTATTTGTTATTTTACATCTGTATATCGAGCGAAACAAACAGACATAGCAGGTATAGAGCGAGACAGACAGATAGATAGAGTGAGAAAGATTTGTTTTTGCAACGTTTTAATACGCCAAAGCGTAAACCAATCCCACAAACGTTACTCGCCTTCGTACTCAGCTATCAGGAACAGCAGCAGTATCGAGTATATGCGAATTTGAGCACGCATA